TGCTGATGTTCAGGTGTATATCACTATGTAGTGTCTCTACTTTAAAGAGTCCTCTCCTGCTGATGTTCAGGTGTATATCAGTATGTAGTGTCTCTACTTTAAAGAGTCCTCTCCTGCTGATGTTCAGGTGTATATCAGTATGTAGTGTCTCTCTACTTTAAAGAGTCATGTTCAGGTGTATATCAGTATGTAGTGTCTCTACTTTAAAGAGTCCTCTCCTGCTGATGTTCAGGTGTATATCAGTATGTAGTGTCTCTACTTTAAAGAGTCCTCTCCTGCTGATGTTCAGGTGTATATCAGTATCTCTACTTTAAAGAGTCCTCTCATGCTGATGTTCAGGTGTATATCACTATGTAGTGTCTCTACTTTAAAGAGTCCTCTCCTGCTGATGTTCAGGTGTATATCAGTATGTAGTGTCTCTACTTTAAAGAGTCCTCTCCTGCTGATGTTCAGGTGTATATCAGTATCTCTACTTTAAAGAGTCCTCTCATGCTGATGTTCAGGTGTATATCAGTATGTAGTGTCTGATAAACTGCCTCTTGAAGGTCCTCGGCCTGAAACACGTTGAAAACCCAAAGTAATACAGAAATATTGATAATTCAGCTTTAATATAAAGGTGTTTGTGGGGTTGCATACAAGTCAAACAGGGTTACAGTTGTTTTGAGTATTGCAAAAAAGTTTAATGTCTTAAAAAAAAGTAAATGATAAATTGAACAAACCATCCCTGACATATGAAACTTTAAAAACAATGGCACATTCAGAGCAGCTTCTCACAGTATTTCATCGCAGGCTTAACTCCCAGGTATAGTATTCAATATCGAACCATAAAAAAGTTCCTTAGATATAAAACGTACACGAGCAGAATCTCTTTGGCCTTTAGTTTAAAGGTCTCCTATCATGCAAAATGCACTTTCTGATGTCTTTTCTACATCAACATGTGTCCCCTGTGTGTCGGGGAACTCAAGCAGCGTCAGAAAATAAAACCCTCTCTCTTTTCCTCCGTACCCAAATCTCTAAAAAACGGGGGAACAACGGAGCTGATCCAGATTTGCGTCCGATATGACGTAATATCTGAAATGTGGACCCACGGCCCTATCAGAAACGTTGCTATCAGAAACAATGCCCGACTGCTTTGGACGTAATATGATCGGTGTTTACATTAGCATCGCTAACACTCAGAGCTAACCTGTACTGGAGAGCATGTGTGTGAAGAAGCAGGAAGTAAAAAGGAACTCACCTTGTGGTATAACCGGCAAGAGAGAAAGCCTTTGAGCTCCATACTGTTTCAGAGAGAATCCTTGATGTGGTTTGGAACATGATGGCGTTTAATCACGGCTACGGACGTTTAAAGCTGTAGACCCCGAATCAGCACTTTAGTAACAGGGCTGAAATAGAGGGGTTTGAGGCTAAAATGCACGATCTGTTTGGTATTTTAAGCAAAACACTTCATAGACATGTTTTTTATATATTTGTATACATCTGAGACCTATGCTATGTGCATACAAATAGTATAATAGGAGACCTTTAAAACATGAGGGAATGTCTCTCTGCAGTTTGAATGAATAAATACATAAATATGATTCTAGTATTTTGGGTAGAGCACCCTGGCGATCTGCTTGTCGGCCCTCTCCAGATCCAGCCACTTCCCACAGAGGAAGATGGTTGTGACGCCATTGGCTGTATTTGTTACCTCCACTCGGTTCAACAACCATCCGGGACTCAAACCGGAATTATCCTGATCCATCCGGACTTTCTGCAGCTCCCCCATGTCCAACATTTCCAGCAAGAAACGGTCCGTCTGCTCTCGTTCGAACAGATTTCTGAATTTCTGTCGTAGCTGTCGGCGTCCCGAGTCTCCGTTGACTCCGTAGATTGTGATGAAGACGTTGGCGTCCGTTCCCGCTCCTTTTTCGTCGCCCGTGATGACGATGATCTCGTATTTTACGGGCACCAAGCTGCGGGCTTTACTGGCAAAACTCTCGATGGTCTTGGTGCACTCGAAGGTCAGGAAGTCGTCTCTCTTTGGAGACAGAGGGATGAGGCCGTTGCAGATAAAGATGTACCTGAGGGGAGGATACAATAAAGTGTTACCAACGATCAATGACTTAACACTCACAGGTATTTTTAGATATAAAAACACATAATATGCTTTAATTAACAAGTGGATTTTGCATATTAGGTGACCTTTAAAATAAAGTGTTAAATATGAGAATGGAATGATGTAGAATGAGTGTTTGTGTAGATGTGGATCTCTGAGCATTATGGGATGTCTCACTTGTTTCCCAGTTCCCTCTCAGTAACCACGACCTCCTCCACCTGCCAGAAAACTTCCCCTTTTACTTTCTTCCCATCTTTGGGTGTGTGCCCCAGGCAGATCCCAGCGATGTCCCCCAGGTTCTTGGACGAAAAGTCAAACCGATCAACATTTCCCCTGAAAAAAGAAGTAAAAAGGGATAAAGCATGTCTTGGTTCTGGTGGGATCATCATAATGAGTGTAAAGGCAGACAGAGATGGCAAAAGTACACACATCCTTTACTCAAGTAGAAGTACAGATACTCCTGTTTAAAAATACTCTGGTGAAAGTAGAAGTACTGACTAAACTTCTTTACTCAAGTAAAAGTAAAGAGGGCTTTGAAATGTACTTCAGTAAAAAGTACCCATAACTAGCAGCTGTTTTAAAGAGTACCTGACCTCCCTTTATATTAATATAACAATAATGTCATTGTTAGCTAATGAATGTTTCCATGCTGAACAACGGCAACATGACAACGTTTTCATTGGTCCCTCTTCTTTAGAGAAGACCAGGAAATGATGGATACACGGATCGTGTTCAAATCAATAGGCACGCAATGACTCTAAATAATAATGATCACGCCACCAAACACACATTCAAACTAAAGGAACCAGCCTGTTTGGAAAATTAGAGAAGTAGAAAGTACAAGTATTTGTGTTCAACATGTAAGAAGTAGAAAGTACAGCTATTTGTGTTCAACATGTAAGAAGTAGAAAGTACAGGTATTTTATTTCAAAATGTAAGAAGTAGAAAGTACAGGTATTTGTGTTCAATATGTAAGAAGTAGAAAGTACAGGTATTTGTGTTCAACATGTAAGAAGTAGAAAGCACAGGTATTTGT